GAATAATATTAATACTATAGTTAGGGTATAGTTTGTATAGAACTAAACTTATATCATTGTTATAATAATACTATCACGGGGCTGGTACGGATTCTAGTGAGTACTAGATAAGATGTATGATATTCGACGAGGAGAGAAGGAGGCGCGTGGAGCGATACCGACTATATGGTGAATAAATGCCTAAGGCATCTATTCGATCTAACTAAGAACAGGTAATGTGTATATAACAAATACAGGTAGATATAAATAGATATAGGTAGATATAGATAGATATAGATAGTTATATATAATGAATCTGTAATAGTATGCCCTTTTTTCTAATCTTGTTTATTCTTAAACAAATATATAATATAATAAACAATATAAAGTCTTTATTTCTTATAACAAATTCCTATAAATTTTATTAAATTATTTTAGTTGTATATCTTGTTCCTTAATTCTTCTATTTTATTTATTATTCATTATCAAAACTGTAATTATTGAAGATTATTATATAAATATAGTTATTAAATCGAATACTTTTCTTTAACTTGATATTGCTAACTTATAGTTTTCTTTTTCTAATAAAGTATTATAGTCCAGGTTTGGCAGGTAATAATGCCTGTATAACTGGTACTTTTATTAGAATAAAAAGCCCTTTTATAATTGTTGGTATTATCGTAGTAGTGATGAAGTATCAATAGTACTATCGTGTTTCACGTGTTTATATTGCCTTAAGGAACTAAACTATAGAGATGCTAATGCTAAAAGATATACGCTCCGTAGTAGCCAAAGCATCGCTTATTGCCCTAACCCTTAGTCCTACTACTCATTACAGTTAAATGAATGATATCCAGACACTAGTAATTATCTAAAAATTGAATAAATTTGTTTTTAGTAATTCTTTTATATCCTATTAGTTCTTTTTTCTTTAATCTTTTTCAATCTATTCTGTAATCTTGATTTTTATAATATTATTATCAATTAGTTTCTTAAATACTTTTCCTGCCTTAGATTTCATCATCATATCAGTAGGGTTAGATTTTTTATCAATTTATTTAATCTCCACAATCTCATATCATTTATATAATTAT